ACATGACTTTGAACATGAGCACTAAACGAGTACAGCAAATGGTATTCCTTCTTCATTTACAAGTGACCATTCCACTTTAAAACTGAGGCTATTCAATCAGTCCAGAAACCTAAGCACATCACATGCGCATGATTGGAGTAAAGCAGAAGTGTTTAGGGACACAATCAAATGTCTTTGAATGGTTAGACCTGTTTTCTTTTTTTTTTCTTCTTTGTGATTTTTTTTTTTTTTTTTTTTTTTTTTTTTTTTTTTTTGAGACGGAGTCTCACTCTGTCACCCCAGTCTGGAGTGCATTGGTGCGATCTCCACTCACTGCAACCTTCGCCTCCTGGGTTGAAGCAATTCTCCTGCCTCAGCCTCCTGAGTAGCTGGAACTATAGATGTGCGCCACCACGCCTGGCTAATATATGTGTGTGTGTGTGTGTGTGTGTGTGTGTGTGTGTGTTGTTTTTTAGTAGAGACGGGGTTTCACCATTTCTCTCAGGAGAAAAGCAGCAACTCTCAAAGTGTGGTCCCCAAGACCACTGCATCAGAATGGCCTGGAAGTGCTGATTAAAACACGGATTCTGTGCCGGACGCGGTGGCTCACGCCTGTAATCCTAGCACTTTGGGAGGCCGAGGCTGGCGGATCACGAGGTCAGGAAATGGAGACCATTCTGGCTAACACGGTGAAACCCCGTCTTTACTAAACACACAAAAAATTAGCCGGGTGTGGTGGTGGGGCGTATGTAGTCCCTCAGCTTACCGGGAGGCTGAAGACAGGAAATGGCGTGAACCCGGAGGCGGAGCTGAGTGAGCAGAGATCACGCCGACTTACTCCAGCCTGGCGACAGAGCGAGTCTCCGTCTCAAAAAAAAAAAAAAAAAAAAAGACAACAACCAGATTCCCTGTACCTTTCCAGGTAAGTCTCTGAGGCTGAGCCCAGAAATTTACCCTGGTAGCCAGCTTCCGGGATGACTGTCGTAAATATTACAATTTGAGAACTATTGCTCTGGAGGCTGAATTAAGCAATGAGCATACTGATGAATACTCACTTTTGAAAAGCCTAAAGGTAGACCTCCATGAAAACTATTTGTTAAGATTTCCTTTCTTCCTTTCCTTATCTTAAAATGATATAATCTTTAAACACACACACCACACACACACACACACACACCAAAAAACCTGTAACATATATCATTTCACTTCGATGCATAAATGGGACCTATATCTACATAAAGACTATTTTCAGTTTTTCATTTTTGCGTGGGCTCCCACACCTTTTCTCTGCCCTTGTCTCCACCAGGCCCTAGTAATCTGTTCTGGAACCTCCTTTAATAATCCTTCATATATGCACACAAACATATACACCCAAATATATATAAATAGGTTTGCCTTTTATATTACTAAAATGAAACATCTTTCCATACTTTTCTGTACTTGCTTTTCTCATTCAAAAAAACCTAATAGAAATATTCCCATATTACAAAATTTGACTCTAATTTATTCTTTTGAATGTTACACATGACTTCCACCAGTATATGATGAGTCATAACATATTCAGTCATTCTCCATTGACGGCATACTTTGTCCTAGCTTCCTGCTGCTATTAGCTATACAATTAACAATCTTGGGGCAGGTCGTGGTGGCTCATGCCCTGTAATTCCCAGCAATTTGAAGCCGAGGCGGTAGACTCACTAGGTCAGGAGGTCGAGACCAGCCTGGCCAAGATGGTGAAAACCCATCTCTACTAAAAATAAAAAAATTAAATGGGCATGGTGGCGGGCACCCGTAATCCCAGCTACTCAGGAGGCTGAGGCAGAGAACTGCTTGAACCCGCCGAGATCCTCGCCACTGCACTCTAGACTGGGTCACAAGCAAGACCTCTGTCTCAAAAAAAAAAAAAAAAATCCTTGCATATTACACATGAACTTTATTTCTAGTGGATGACTCTTAACTCCTAGGATAGAGAATTGTATGTGTTTGCTACAATAACAATTAATATTAGTATTCCTGCAGGGTTTTATGTATTTTCATTTTTGATAACTCCTGCTAAGTTTATTTCCAAGTAAGACAGTATTTATTTGAATGGTAATTTTTATAAGAGTATTTACTTCCCTTTCACAATTTCTCATTATAAAAATTTATATTGATAAGTGAAGTATAATTAGTTATATACATTTATATTATTGAATTTTAAATGTTCTTCATTTTACAAGTACCAATTTTTCCAAGTACCCTTGTGGTCGACCACCTGAGTTTCGTTAAAATTGCACAAAACAGAAAAATACATGTTAGTTCTGAGGTGCTATTGGGGTATAAGCAAGAAAACAAAACACAAACAGGCTGCCTTCTATGAAACTATCCTCCAAATATTTTAGATCAGATAGATGGACAGGTAGATGGATAGACAGAGATATGAAAAAAACCTCTGGTATTTGTTTTGACTTGCCAGCCACCAAATCTGGTAGGGTCAGTTTTTCTGTAATTTTAAATATGCAAGACTGGTCAAGGTCAAAGAACATTTTCTGGGAACAATAGCCATTCTCTTCATTGTTTTCTTAATGACATGAAGAAGAAAAAAAAGAGAGAGAGAGAGATGTGACCTTGCTAGGTCCACTTCAACAAATCCTTGTTTGATTTTAACATCTCTAAGTGTCCAGCAAGCCATCAAAGGTACACAGGCAGTTTACCTTACAACCAGTTCCAAAGTGCCATTTACAATTGATGGGAAATGACAGGATTCCAAAGGGGCAGTTTAAGGAAGACAAGAGCAGTCGAGAGGGGGATAGAAGAAGCGATGGAGAAGGAGGAGAGAAAGGATTAGGTCTGTGAGCTAACAGGGGAAAACAGCTTAATTATGGAAGAAAAGACACATGCATAGGATAGTTCGAACAGGCAGAGTTGCTGTGGAAGCACATTCCAGGAAAATCTTAAGAGATTACTTTAATAATAAACCATGCATTCTTCAGCAAGCCATCGCGGGATTAACTACCCTTTCCTAGGCTGGGAGCACAGTCATTTGTTTTATTTTATTTTTTCCTTCTCTCTCACAGGCAGGTTTTCTGCAAGGGACAATTGCCATTCAAAGGCTATTGTTTTTCAAACATTGCACTGACTTTTCCTTACTTTAATTTTCTAAACATAAATTTCAGTGGTGATTTAAAAAAAGACCATTATTTAGGCAGGGTGAACATCTGGGTGGGCTTAGGTGCGATTCTCCAGAGGGAAGGATGTTCATTTTAGACTTGTTGAAAAGTGAACAACTTAGATGTGACGCAGACAGTGTTTCACTGGGGATAAAAAGAGTTAAATTTCTTTTTTTTTTCTTAATGTGAGCAGGATATTGACTTACTGCCAGAAGCAGTATCAGTGCCCTAGAGATATAAAAATACAGTTCAAACCAGAATTCTCCACTGTCAACTCTTCAGATTTCTGTGCAAAATAAGAGGTGCCTATTTTAAGTTGTAAGTGTGAGCCCACTGCTCTTAAATGAACTGTTTTCATCAAAGTCTTCTCTTGAAACTACAACTCATAGCAGATGAAATCATTTTCTTCCTCTGGCTTCTTAGACAAATCCCTTCCATTTGGTGGGGTAGAGCAAACATAAGTTAGTATTTCTTGGTAAGAGTCTTTCAATAAAAAAAATATATTGGAGTGGGCACTTCTTAGTCTAGAAAATATTACGTGTTGAGGTTAAAAGAGACACCCATGTCTTTCTAATTATCAAAGTCCCCATTTGCCTGAAATCAGCAGCCCTTTTTCCAACTACCTAGCCAATAGAGTGAAACTGGACTTCTAGATTTTAGAAACAAAGTCTTGTGTTCTACAATGTACTAGAATTAAATTTCTCTGCATAAATGTTATAAATAGAATACTATCCTAGGACTAAAATTTGTATACTTCCTGTCATTCATACAAAGTCATTTTTTTTAATAGCAAATTACCTCTGAGGAATATTGAAAACTGCCAGCGTGTCCCTCCCTGCCTCTGCACCCCTAGGTGTGTCAGGGGATGAGAAATAGTAGAGTTTGGGGAGGTAGAATTCCGGGCCAGCTGTGCTGCTCTGCACCCCTCAGTCTCCCCGAACACCGGTTGTTTCAAGCCTGACCTACTTGAGAGCAGACATTGCCACTCACATTGAGCTACCCCAAATTACACAGTGGCTTCGCAGTCGAGGCTAGGCATGGACCACAAAATATATCCTTGGTGTCCCACGAGCCCTATTTGAACCCTCAGTTTCCAGAGGTAAAATGCAAATCCACTGTGTTGCTTACTTGATAAAATCAATAACCCCCTCCCATCCGAGATACAATTTAGCATTTTCACATTTACTACCTGCTGCCTCTGACTTTAAACAATTAATTTTTTTTTTAAAGGGAAAAGAGACACGTCTTTCACAAGAGTAATTTCAGAATTCTCCAAAAAGCAGCAGAGCTTCTGTAGATGTTTTACAATAGTTCTTGATTTTAAAATATGGAGAAAATGAATTCTCAGCTTGTTTACACTCATTAAGATTAGCTGCGGAGTACCTTCTACCGCTCAGCACTCTACCTTAACATTTTTAAATATTTTATTTCTTGCAGTTCATGTTTTTCCTAGAGGTACAGGAAGTGTTATGGAAATTCATGCAGATAAAGTCATGTTGTGTGTCTACGTATGGGTGTATATACACTGTAAGAGAAGCCTATCTAGAATCTCTGATTGTATCACAATTATAACTTATTTAATAGGCTACCTAGTCGTGAACATATTTTGCTCATATCGATTTCATAGAGAGAATGTTATTTTTATATCCACATATACATGATTATATTTCATATGTAAATACAGTATGTTTTACATATGCACACATAGATTTCCCACTAATTTAAGAGCATTTGCATCTGCAGTGAGGGAGACGCTAATTTCTTCTAAGGGGGGAAAATCCAGTCGCGCGATCAACTTTAGAAACTGCAGATCTGCGCAGGATCCGTTGTCCCTTGTCAGGAAAGTCAGGAGTAAAGGCAGCCCTTTGTTCAAAGGGCCCCAACGGGTTGGTTAGGATGACTCCGTGTGCCACATCACTCTCAGTGGCAATCCAGGGAGCGGATCTGTGAAACGAAGCTCGGTGGATCCCACCCCTTTCCTCCAGAGCTTCCCTTTCCTGTCCTTATTTGCACCCGCCCCCCGCCCGCGTCGGTCTGGGACTTTTGACTTCGTCCCGAACACATTTCCCCTCCCGCCGCTGGGTCCCTGCGATCGCCCCCAGCTGGTGGGGCTCGCGGAACCCAGGGGAGCCGGGTCCTCTGTGCCGCTGCAGCGCGAGTTAATAAACAGTTAAGTTTGAAAGACTCTGCAGACACGTTGAGGGGGAGTTACCAAGCCCAGGCAGCAAAAACATCCTGGCACATTCCTGGGGAGTCCTCAGCTGCCAGCATCTGATTAGAACCATATCTCTCGCCGGGAGTGGCCGCGCGGCTCCGGAGCTCCCGGCCGGCGGCTATTTAAGCGAGGCCCGCCGCATCCGCTGCGCTGCAGCCTGGAGGCTCCGGGCGCGGGGAAGTCATGCTCGCTTCGCGGAGGCAATAGCTAGCCGGTGAGTAGCTTCGAAACCCTTCTTCCCTCTGGCTCCATTTTTTTTTTTTTTTTTTTAAAGATCTCCTTCTCTCCTTTGCTCCCCCTCTTTCGTCCCCCGCTACCCGTCTTTGGGTACAGACCTTGGGCTGTGGGGAATCTTAGAAATGAGACCGTGTGCTCGGGGAAACCAGCAGTTTTGTGGCCTGACATCTGAGGAATGCTTCCACGGAATGTATTTACCTTTTGAATCCGACTCCAGATGTCCAGCTTGTGACATTTAACAAACGCCTCCTTTTGTGTCGTGTGTGTGTGTGTGTGTGTGTGTGTGTGTGTGTGAAAGGTCTGCTGGCAGCCCTCCTAGGACACTGAGGTGGCTGCTGACCGCCTAATTAACTCCTCGAAGGGTGTTTATTTTTGCTGTGTGACAAAGGCTGGGGACCTGGCTTGTGCCCACAAGAAGCTTTTTCCTGGTGACTGACAACATATGGCATTAAAATGTGAACTTTGTCTTACACCGGCATTCCCAAGGAAGTATCTACCCAAGGGACTTAAGAAACTTGTTTTATATCCCCCGGAGCAGGGAGCAGGGTTTATATGCCGCTTGTCTGCCTGTTGTAAGCCGGTTAAAAAGATTAAGTAAGAATTCTAAAACGGGGGGGAAAAATGAATGGGTTAAAACCATGGAGCCTCAGTCAACATAGCGGTTTTCATAGCATAGAGCTGACTCTGTTATTTGTTTCTGCCGTCTTTCCCTCTTGACTTAATTCTGAGCCTGGAATTCAGGTCCGCAGTCAGTTTCAGCAGGGGAGCTGTTTGAGTCCAAAGGGAAATTTAACTGGATTAAAAACACTTAAGGAATCTGGATGTTATCTCCACCCCAGCCACCCCCCACCTTTTCCCCTTTCTTTTTAGTTTTTGTTTGGAAGGAAGAGAGCCACTCTGTAAACTGAGAAGAGCAGAAACAAGCTTCCAGACACATGGAAAGACTTAAAAATTATGGAGGGGCGACTTCACGAATAGTAAATGTTGCTATTGCTCTATAAAGCGACTTAATGAAAAAATTTCTGGCCTTAGTCAGGCAAAGCAGGGGCATAGGGGAAAAGGAGGTAAGATATAACGAATGCAAACAGAAGTAATGGGAGTGGAAAGAAGGCAGTTACAAAAAAATGCCTTTGAGATGTCTGATAAGCCTCTTGGAATGGCTTTGATGTGATGTATACTTGATTGTCCTTACAATCTTGAGGTTGGCTTCTCACACAAATGCACGTACTGGCTGTTGGGGAGGGAAGAAGTAGCTGGGGAGGAGGGAGCTTGCAGCTACCAAATGGATTGTCACCATGCTTCTTACCCCAGCAGCCAGACTTTGGGAGGCTGCTGTTCTCTGGGCCAGGTGCCCCGCCCACTCCAGGTTCTGTGTCTCCCCTCTCGGAAGGGAGATGGCCCTCAGTGACACTGTAAGAAAGTTTATTGCCTTGAGAATTCAGGAGTATTCGAGGCTTGAGCCCTTTGACATCTTCAGAAAAGGAGCTTTCTGGTGGAGTGCTGGACATGTGGAAATAATGCCACACTTAAGACAACAAGGAGAGTACAATGGGAAAGTCTTCTAGAGAAAGCATGAAGAAGACCTGGTGGTGTTGGCCAATGTGTGTTTCTGGGACAGACCACTTTTTCCAAATCCTTAATCAGCTTCCTCCTAAGGCCAACTGAATTCTTTTTGCTGTTGCTGGTGAATAACTTCCCCCTTCTTTTCCCACTCCCAGCTCGATGGATCCCTTCTTATCCAAATGACTGACCTAGAAACCAGTTCTTTTTCAGCTGTACCCTCCTATACTTTAACGTATAACCAGAATAAGTAGATGGTAGAGGAATGTCTTCCAACTTTGAGCCCATACACACATGTCTTTGCCATTCTGGGGATCTTTGATCTTGATGGTTGATCTTTACCTGAGGATGTAAGTGAGGGAAGAAAGCACTTGTTAAAAACCTTGTCTAATTTGTGAAGGGCAAAAATCCAGAGTTTGCATTTCTACTGAAGACTTTTATAGTTTTAGATTAAACTGAAAGTCCAAATTCCTGTGTATTAGGCCTGTTTGTTGTCTTTCTCCAAAGGTTGAATGGATTTCAGTCGCCTTGTTTGGGTTGAAGGGCACTGCTTTTAAGGCACTTGTTGGCATGAAGGTAGAACAGGGACCTCTAGCAGCTGCTGACCAGCTGTTTGAGAATGATATTTACTGGCCTGCTCAACCAGTCCTCGATTACCTGAAGGTTAAAGGAGCAAGAAGATATCTTCCTTGCTGAGTGCTCCTGGCCAAGCAGGAAGCTTTGCTGTGAATGGGCTCTTATGCTGCTTCATTTCTAACTCTACCTTCATATGTCCGTAAACCTAAGTTGGCTACCGCTGATATTTTACCTGGATAATTTTGAAGGCTCTGCGTGTTTCTCTTCCTCACTCCCTTAGCCTGAGGATTTAATTATTGTTCTTCTTAAAGACAGAGCCAAGATGTTGAAATGCTTGGGAAAGCTGCTGAGAGTTAGCCCTCCTGGGGTTTGAAGTTGTCCTAATGCTCATCAGACCATACCTCCCCAGCTGGACAGACTCGAAAGCTTACTGGCCAGGAAGGTTTAGGTAACTAACCAGACACATAAGGTTTTTTACCCTTTAGATAGAACCAGAATGGGAACCAGATTAGCAATATGAAACACCTGAGTAACAGGATGTGGTATTTTAAAATTCTCCCTGGCACTGCTATGTAATGCTAAAGTTGAAGCTGTGCCGCTGAATTGCACAAAGGTTGGCCAAAATCATATTTAGATGAAACAGATTTTTGTTTTGTTTTGTTTTGTTTGAGACAGAGTCTGCCTCTGTTGCCCACGCTGGAGTACAGTGGCGTGATCTTGGCCCACTGCAGCCTCTGCCTCCTGGGTTCAAGAGATTCTCTGACCTCAGCCCCCTGAGTAGTTGGGATTAGAGGTACCCGCCACCATGCCTGGCTAATTTGTTTTGTTTTTTTTTTTTTTTTGTAGTAGAGACGGGATTTCACCATGTTGGCCAGGCTGGTCTTGAACTCCTGACCTCAAGTGATCCACCCATCTCAGCCTCCCAAAGTGCTGGAATTACAGGCATAAGCCACCAAATCCAGCCAGATGAATCAGATTTAACATCAGATATGTGTCTTTAAAGGAGACTCAACTCATGATGTCAACATATCCTGACTGGATTAACTGGTGGAAATCAGAAGGAAAGCAGACTCCTCGGGCTTTACTTAAAGACAAAAAACAAGCAGATTCCTGATTAAGGGAACAAATGATGGCTGGTATGGACACAGAGGGCTAACATTCAACACTAGCTGCCTCCGGCAGGGCACAAGTGGATAGTAGTTGAGAACTACCTTCTGAAGTACCATTGCCTGGGTTCAAATCCTAGCTACAGGGTTGCAGGTTACATGGCTCTGGGCACATTCCATAACCTCTCTGTACTTCAGCTTGCTTCTCTGGGGAGAATAATAGTACCCCAGGACTGCTGGGAACACAGTTCATCTAATATACTTGGAATACTTTTTTCCATCTGATTTTGAAGGTTTTGTTTGTTTGTTATTGCTCCCCCCTGAACAATTGAATTAAGTGTCTTTTTGAAAACTGAAAGCAAATGGAAAATGTCTTCATGAAAATTAAATACCCCTCGCTTACCTGAAAAAGGTTAATTATTCAAGCACTTGATTTTAATAAAGCCAGTGTGTTTGCTTGTGCTCACACTAGAACAGACAGGGAGTTACTCTCTGTTCTCGTCCTGGAAGCCTGCACTTTGGTTTGGTCAGGCTGACCTCGCTGGTCTCAGTTAAGTCCTCCCCATACCCTCGCAGACTCCCGACAGAGAAGGAGCAATCCTTCCCCCTGAAGTCAGCATTATCACAGAAGGAAGTGGGAAGGGAGGGACCACCCGGACTAAACTGAATGACTAGGCTAGAAATAAAAATTCTTCCGAGTGTGTGCAGGCCCCATACTATCCTTGCCCACATAGCTGGGCAGGTTGCCATGGTTACTCCCCTTCTCGCATCCTTCTACCCTGGAAGGAAGCCTGCCTCTCTAGGGTAAGTAGAATCTGAACAAATTGCTTCCTGGTCTAAAAATGGAAGTTACTAAGTGAAGTAGAACCTCCTCTCTACTTATGTGACCCCCTCCAAACTTATTTTAATCCCAATACTTGATTTTCTAACCTTCCTAATTCTTGCATCATCTAGATAGCAAAATGTAAAAGCTTATGAAATTTCTGGAACCTAAAAGTTACTACCGCAATACAGAAGCAACCTGGCAAGTTTTCCCTACTACATTCATACTAGCTAGCTAGGGGCAAGTGATTTTTAACTAAGTTCAACAGGTAAAAATTCTAAGTGAATGGGGCAGGCTGAGTGAGTGTTAAGTTGAAGGTAAACAGAATGTATGAGGCCTGTCACTTAGATTTTCAGGTAACCATAGAGTAAAGAGAGCAGGTAAATAGGAAGCAACAATCCTAGAATGCTGGATTTGAAGCATTGTTCAACCTAGAAGAAATCTGGGTGAGGGAAATATGGTTTAATGTTGTCTCTTGGTAAAAAACTACCCTATTTCTATCTAGCAGTATGACGCAAAATGTTACTCCCAAAAAGACTTTGATGTTTATGTGAAAAATGAGCTGCCATACTACAAGTTTGCATTTGACAAATTAATTCAGTCTTTCAAAATTGGACATTTAGCTTGATGTGTATTTCACAGCTTGAGAGAACTCACCTAAGACAATAGTTCTCAGAGTTGATTCCCAAACCAGCAGCATCAACATCAGCTGGGAACCTGTCAGAACTGCAAACTCTCAGTCCCCACCCCAGGTCTCCTGAACTAAATTCTGGCAGCAGGGCCCATCCAGCTGTATCTAAACTAGCTCTCCACCACGTGATCTAAGAGTAACTTTCATAATTCAGTGGTTTTAGGATTCAGTTGTTCAGTGGAAATCATAACAAAGTATTTGAATTCCTTCAGTCATGGAGACAATAAAGAAAAAGCATTTAAACACAGTGCAGTTTAACTGAACCTTAGGATGCAGAAAGATTAAAAAGCATGGGCTTTGGACATTCTTCCCATATACGAAGTATGGCTTTCTTGATCCTAGGAAATCCAATATACTTTTGGTTTGATATTATCACCTCACTTCCAAATCCTTTCCCCTCTGCTGGGGTTTTTAGAGTATAATTAATCTCCATTTATTAGGAGACTGTCCCAGTTACCTCTTTTAAAAAAGATTCCAGTAAACTAGATCATTACCCTTGAACCAGATGGTTTTCTCTAACCTATAAAACTCTGTATTTGGTTTTTATGCCATGTCTAGAAGTGCAGATGAAGGCCTCTCCATAAATGAAGCTACTTCATTTAGTGTTTGTAAAGTTTAATGGCTAATGAAGCACTGCTCGTTTCTCCCATTCGACTTTCACTTTAAGTAACCTGAAATAGAAAAGATATCTCTATTTCTTGGCTCCAATATGATGAGTATCTTGCCCAAGGTGTTATCAGTAAGTGGTAGAGCCAGGATTCAATTATGAATCTTTATGATTTGCATCTTGGCGTTTATCTGAGTGCTTAGCAATTACCTACTATGTGAAGTCTGACGCTAGGTTAGCAATGGAAAAACTCGCAGTGAGCAGAAATCAAAACAAAAGTCTTCCTCATGTGTGACAAAGGACAGGATAGAGAGTTAAACAGACTTGCATGGGAATGGCAGTGCTGCCATTTCTTGGGCATGCTATTCAATGTCTCTGGCCCTTAGTTGTGTCACTTACCTTGCAAAAACAGTCCTAAGAATGCCTGATGTTAAACAGAGATCACATCTCAAACTGAAAAATACAAGGGTGTAATGTACAAGTATATAATTGGAACTCTGGTTTTGAAAAGCCAACACGGATTCATGGTTAAGAGCTTGGGTTCTAAGCTGCAAATGACTGTGCCCACAGCCTTGCTTTGCCATATAAGACAAGCTACATAAGGCCTGAGCTTCATTTCTCCATAAGGAAATGAGTTGCCTCGATTTTAAAATTAAAAACTCCTCAGAACTCCTGCAGTTGCTTCTGAAATGTACCTGTCCTAGAAATACAATTCTCAACGCAATAACTAAGCTGATATTTTTAAAATGGTCTTGTTCTCATTGTTTTTGAGTATCAGGCAAGCTAAATTCTAGAGATCCACACATTCAGGCTGAAAATTAGAAGACTGTCTTTCCTATATATCTTTAAACTATTAAATGTGAATAATCAAGGAGGAGAATGCGGCAATGCTTCATAAATCAGTAGAGGCGCACAGATGTTAACTTTAAGGTACCACTTAAACCTCATCTGAGCAGAGCAGCTAAGTCCTGTTAAGGTCTATAGTTAATCCATACCCAAAGAACTGGAAAGCGAATAACTTCATCCCTAATTGTGTCCATATTGAAGACAGCTGCCCTCTCTGTTCTAAACATTGCATCCAAATGATCTCACTTATTTTTTTATATTTTAAGTGTCCTATTAGGGAGCCAAGACCTGGTCTAGTCTTCTGTAATACGTAATTCAGATGCTAAAGTGCTTTTTGTTACCATTTAGTGCAACAGAAAGAAACCAAGTGTGTTTGAACATATGTCAGAGGGCTGGCATAATCATATGAAGAATGCTCAACCAGTTTGGCTATGGGACAAAATGTGAATCTACTAGGGAAACATACAATTGCCCTCTGAGTCAGAAGATCAGAAGTTGCAGTGGCTACACACAGTAGGTGCTCAAATATCCATCCTTTAAAGGGAAGTGTCAGCTGTGCTTTAATTATATCAGCATTGGGTTTTGTTGTTATTGCTGTTACTTGATTTTGTTTTGTGTTACTTCCTGCCCCCTTTACCTCTAAAATTAAATGACTTAAATGCAATTCATTTTTGAAGTAGAAAACAAGTATGTGCTGATAGAACAGGCTTTTCCATCAATAGTTGGTTGCTAGTAAGGAGGGTTAATATTGATTTCTGCCTGGGCTAAGGTTCAACTACAGCTGAGGCTTTTCAGAAAGCATACATGTACTAGAATTGAAATGATAGATAGTTATATTTCATGTCCACGCTGTCTTCTAAAGGATAGCTTGATGCAGAGATGCTTGCCTAACTGCCTGAAAACTTCTTTTTTGTGATCTCTGGTTTGTCTAACTGGTCTAAAGTCCCCAGTGACTAAAAGTTGATAGTAATTGAAAGTTGGATGCAAATATTTACTTTAAGGGGACACATAGATGATGAGAGCTGCCTATAAGATAGTTAGAGAAAATAGTAACTACTCAACTAACAAACGATTTTATTATAATTAAGTGGTACAGAGTGTTGTGTGGGTCCAGAGGGAGAAAAAGGCCATTGGTGTGTTAATGGATTTGGCTTTTAAAGGAACAGTGGAAGTCAAATAAGCAAAGGTAAGAAGAGAAAATGCATTTTAGGCAGCAGCACATATGCAAATCATGTAGTTGGATGAACTTAGGGTATGCCTAAAGAACTCTGACTGGCCAGTTTGGCCAAGAGACAGTACAGGTGGCATAGGGCTGAGAAATGTTTGAGTTTGAAAAGTAGGGATGAATTGTACTGAGCCATGGATGTCAGGATAAGAATTTTGATCTTTTTAAATTATTGTTATTATACTTTAGGTTCTGGGGTACGTGTGCAGAATGTGCAGTTTTGTTACATAGGTATACATGTGCCATGGTGGTTTGCTGCACCCATCAACCCGTCACGTACATTAGGTATTTCTTCTAATGCCATCCCTCCCCTAGCCCCCTAACCCCTGACAGGCGTGGGTGTGTGATGTTCCCCTCCCTGTGTTCATGTGTTCTCATTGTTCAACTCCCACTTATGAGTGAGAACATGTGGTGTTTGCCAAGCAGATCTTGCCATTAAAGCAGGAAAACCAAATGCTGATTAGGATAACTTAACCTGACTCTATTGGCAGAATGCGTTTGAGCGGAGATTGCTTAGTAGTTGAAGAAAAGCCTATATTTCTTTAAAAACCATCAAAGTAGAGAAAAGGGTTGCCTAACCTAAGATGAAGGTGCAAAGAGAAATATTCATTACCCCTAATGTTTTAAGTGCACTGCTCATTAAAAGACTGCGTCGAGCCTAGAAGAGTAGGGCAAATAATTTTCGGATCCCAAAAGCTTTATTGAATTGAGGGAAGAGCTCTACATGAATCAGAGGGCAATGATAGGTCATGGCACACGTGGGGAAATGGCTGGTGGGAGGCTGGTGAAGACTTCCCTGAGACCACACATCTTGAGTGGCCTTGGAATGAAGGTTTTCATGAAATTCCAGAAGGTGAAGGCAGTACATATTACAGGCTAGCAGGCCACATAAGAAAGTCCGGTGTGTCTGTGTGTCTGTTCAGGGGAAACGGAAGACAACGGCCTTTTCAGAGAGCAGGTGGCCATGTATATGTATAGTCTGCAGCCTGATTAGAAGGGCTTTAAATCTCAACTTGAATGTGAATGGAGGAATTGAACACTGATACCTAATTAATACAAAATCAGGAAAGCTAGGAGGACAGTAAATACTCCTACAAAAATTTAGCCATAAAGGGGATCAGTTACAACCAGAGTCTCTTACACACCTTAGACTCTCACTGAAGCCCTTTGGAGAAAATGGAAGAAAGAGCTCATCCCATAAGGAGTTGTTTGTTTTTTTTGTTTGTTTTTCACTTTAAGTGTTTTAAATATATTAAGGAGTACCTATGCCATGTATGTAGAAAAGATCAACGAACACCGTAATATAAGTCTGCTAATCATGAGGAACATGTATGATACAACGTGGCATAGCTTTTTAGGGAGGAGGAACTCAGGGCGGCGGTGAGGCAATGTTGGGAAGAAATGCTGGAACTCAGTAAAAAAAAAAAAAAAAAATATGATGGGGAGGGAGGAGAGGTATGAAAATAAAGGGTAATTATGAAAAGTAGAGTTTCAGAGGTTTGACGCATTCATTAAACATGAACAGTTTAGGATAAAATCTTAGCTTCATTGTAAGCTGCAGACAGTACTGTTGTGGATCTTTTAGGTATATCTGCACACAACGTACATTCTGTAATGTTGTTCCCACTTAGTGTATAGTGATGCAGATGTTCCGTTTTCTGCACAAGAGCTGTTTCCTAGAAATGGTGGGCACAACCATGTTCTGTATTAGGATCTGGACTCTTACACTTCATGCAGCTAACATTTGTGGAGGGCTCACTACTTGTAGTGATCATGAAGTCCATTTCCTTGAAGACTGACATTGACCAAGTGCTACCTGGTAGCCCCTTGATAATGCTCTTGTGACTTGGTAGTGCTCTTTAAATAACCAAAGCCAGCTGTAGGGACCATTGGTTACATTTTCATAAGATTGTTTCACTGAAATCTGAGATTCGATATTTGGCCTGATCTGAAAGTGACACTCTTGTATTCTTAGAAAATCTGGTAATTAAAAGTGCCACAGAACATGTCTGGTTCTAGAATACAGAAGTTCCCTGAATTGCTTGTACTTCTTAAGTGATTGCCAGATTGAACGCCAAATGAGCATAGTGTTTCCTTCTGGTGTTTATGAAGACAGTGTTGATTTAGAACTTTGGATTTTATGACAACACTGAAGGAAACATCACTGATATTCTTCAATACCCTCAGGTGTAACAGAATTGCTCCCTTCTGGTACTGCCATACAGATGCTCCTTTAGATTGTAATGTGGTTATAGGAGACTCACCAATATTAAATGTAACTATCCCCTCAATTCGTGTCATAATTTAAAAAAATTGTTGAGGAGGGTTATTAACCTTTCAGACAACATTTGCATCTTTCCATAATTGATATCAATACAGCAATTTATATATAATTCCTTTAAGTAATACTACTTTTTCTTCCTGTTATGAAGTATTAATAGCAATGAAGCTTTCTACCCTAATCAGAAACAATTCCTCCAAAACACATAGCATCAGTTATAACTGTGACCTGCTTGTTCTTTCTCCCCACCTATCCTGTAAGCCCCTTGAGAGTAGAGACCATGTCTATTTTGTCACTGTATACATAGGATAATGCAGTGCTTGGCACACAGTAGGTGTTTAATAAACAATAACCAGATGGCCAGGTGAGTAACTCAAGCCACTTTCATTTACAACATCAATTGCAATTTATTATAGAGTGAGCAAAATGGAAAACTTTAGTTTGTCTTATCATCTGTTGGTATAAGTAAAACAGTTCTGAGCTCCCCCTCACCTTTTTTTTAACTTTAAGGTTATTTATAATGAGCAATATCCATATGTTCTTCTAGTTTATATCTGCTCAGGGCCTAAGGAAGGCAGACAAGCTGTTACTGAAATTCTCCAGATGGTGTGGTCTTTCCAAGTTGCTAGTTTAACTTCTACCAATGGAGTATTCATTGTTGCTCATATATCTGTCTGACCTGATGGATGTAATCACCTGGCTAATAAGATTTGTGGTGAATAGATTTCAGCCTGATATTTCATCCACAAACAACTTCTTATTCTCCTTCTGTTGCTCCTTTTAAAAGTGTCCACCAAATTGTTTATAAAATTACTAATAAAATTTGAGAAAATAGATGAGACCTTTGGCTTAGCACTGGATAATTAAGGCTATTGTTTTGACTTAACACAATTTCCGCCCAAATCAAAGAAACTTGTTTTGTTATGTTTTTTATTTCCCTGTGCAGCTGTATTGTGAATTAAGATATCCATTAGGCTCTTTAAAATGCTAAAATTAGGTCACAAACTCATTATTGTCTGCACAGACCCCAGCATTTCCAAGAACTCCAGGCTGGAAACCAACTATAGGCCATCCACTGACCAACTTTCAAAATCCTAGCATAAGAGTTTTTTGACTTCTACTTATCATTTGACTGAAAACTTACTGTTGAATTTTTAATATGTCAGGAGCCTTCACCAACGACTCTGGTTAGGTATCATTTAATGATGCCTAAGATGAAAGTGTTGACAGCTGACTATGGGCAGCGTTCTATGTGATTTCAGATATGCTCATGTTCTCTGTGTGGTCTCCCTTCACTTTTGAGTTTAATTGAGAGTGACTGAACGCTAGAACATCTTCATGATTCTGTCTTTAGCCCAAGTTAGACTATAGACTTATGCTTACATTTTAAACTTTGCTGTCTACCAAATTAGTGCATCTTTAAGGAATTTAATTTTTAAAATACAGAAAAGCACGTCACCCCAATGTCACTTACTCTAAATGTATAAGAAACAGAAATCTGTCTTTTTCCTTCCTACTACCCTTCTTAACGAGCATTTTCTTGGCACTGGTCTTTCCAGATTTTCAACACTTTTATGGAAAAACATATATACATTGGGAAAATATCATATTAATATATTCTGCTTCAAACAAGAGACTATAAATACATGACTATCTTAGTTAATAGCTGCCATTTACAAAAGATGCTCTTTTTTTGTTTTTAAGGAGCTCACATTTCAAAATCTCATTTCACTTCATATACATTTCTATAAAGCAGACATTAGGGGAGCCCTTTTGTATGATGAAATCATCTTAGAATGTAGGGTGTAAGACATAATGGCCTTTGACTTTTTAAAAAGCCACCTTTAAGACATTATGCTTATTTGAAGTTTGAGGGTCACTAAGCATCAGAGCTTGGCAAGATGGGATAACCTTGAATCTAATGTTTGAGATTGTTAGTCCTTAACCTTTCAATTAAAAGCCTTTGTTTCCAGAAGATTAGCCAAATATTTGAAAGAAACCGGCAAT